CGCATAAAGATAGAGCAAGCTAGACTACAGGTCGCTCAAGAAGCTCAAAATATCAAAAAGGAAAAAATGCGATTGAAAGCTATGAAACAAGATGAGAGGATTATGGCAATTAACACTGATGGCATGCCTCCATTGCAAGTAGAGTATTACAATAAGTTGAAGATGGAAATTCTTGAAAGGCAATTTGGTGGTGGTAGTTCAAATTAGAAGGAAGATGGTGTATCGTACTTGAAGATGATGTATCATATTTAGTGTGCTCTTATGTATTTCAATTTACTCTTGTTGTATCGTACTTGAAGATGATGTATCATATTTAGTGTGCTCTTATGTATTTCAATTTACTCTTGTTGTATCGTACTTGAAGATGATGTATCGTATTTGAAGATTTTATGAAGTTCTATTTATGCAAATGGAAACTTTTCTCAAAAATCAAATATGATCACATATTAATATAGAAATTCAATAACATCAATATTACATCAACTAACAGGTCTTTACTTGCAACACTAAATTAAATGACATTAATATTACATCAGCATACAAATCCCTTACTAAAGCCCACCATTTCGTTCCCATAAATGTTCGACAAGATCCAATTGCAATTGAGAATGAGTTTGTCTGTCTCTAATGCGATGATGATTCTGAATAAATTCACACAAATCTATTGTACGTTCGTGAGACACTGATATAGTTGGGGCTTCCTCAGCAGCATCGTACGTGAAGTCGATATAATCATCATTTCTTTCATCTTCAACAATCATGTTATGCATTATTATGCATGCTTGCATAATATTTTTCAATATTTTCTCATCCCAAGAGCGAGCTGGTCCACGCACAATTGCAAAGCGTGATTGGAGTACCCCGAATGCTCGCTCTACATCCTTTCTTGTCGACTCTTGAAGTGTAGCAAAATGTTTTCTTTTATTTCCTTGTGGTAAAGAAATTGTTTTAACAAATGTTGCCCATGACGGATATATACCATCAACAAGGTAGTATCCCATCGTGTATTCATGACCATTGACTGTATAATTAACAGTCGGACCATGCCCTTCAGCAAGTTGAAAAAAAACAGAAGACCGTTCTAACACATTAATGTCATTAAGAGCTCCCGGTAAACCAAAATAAGCATGCCAAATCCAAAGATCATAGGAAGCAACAGCTTCTAAAATTATTGTAGGAGTGTGGTTGTGACCAGTATACATACCATGATACTCAGCCGGACAATTCTTCCATCTCCAATGCATGCAGTCAATGCTTCCTAACATCCCAGGAAATCCCCGTTGTTTGCCAATTGCAAGCAATCTTGCAGTGTCCTCGTCAATTGGTGACCTTAGATACTCATCACCAAAAATTACAACAATTGCTTTGGTAAACCTGCCGAGACTCTCTATAGCGGTGCTTTCTCCAATCCACACGTAATCATCCACAGAATCTGCTGATACTCCATAAGCAAGCATCCTCATAGCAACAGTTACTTTCTGTAGTGAGGATAAACCAATTTTCCCAGCAGCATCCCGTTTCTGGACAAAGTAGGAATCATGTGTTTCCACTGCGGATAAAATACGCAAAAATAGTGGGCGATGCATACGAAACCTCCTTCGAAATAGTTTTGCTGGATACACAGGAGATTCACTAAAATAATCATGAAAAAGCCTCTCGTGACCTTCAGCTCTATTGTGTTGAATTACAGCGTTCCCTGGATTAGAACCACGGCGACGAGAACTTTGACCTTCGCTGGAGTGGTGTTCTTCCAAAGATGCGATTGCTAATAAGGTCGCGTAATCATCATCGTCGTCATCCTCTTCCTCTTGTAGCAAGGCACGTAACAAATTACTAGCCATAAATAATATTAAAGATTGAGTTTAGCCATAAATAATATTGAAGATTGGGTTAAAAAAATTGAATGAATTTGAATTTAGTGAAAATGAAGGACACTGGTAGTGCTATTTATAGAAGGAGTGACCACATTTAATTAAAAAACGACCGTTGAAATACGACCGTTAAAATATGACCGTTGAAATATGACCGTTAGAATATGACCGTTGAAATATGACCGTTGAGATATTATTGTTAAATAAAATTAATATTAAAATAATATGAATTTAAATTTAAAATAATATTTAACTTTTAACACGATTTATATAAATTAATTATTATCTAAATTAATTATTTGTTAAATTTTAATTTAATTAATTAATTTAATGATTATATAAAGTAATTTCTTAATTTAGATTAATTAATTAATTAATTAATTTTAGTTATTAATATTTAATTATTTATTCATTTATAAATAAACTATATATTTAATTAAATCTTAATTTATAAAATTAAAAAACTAAATATAATTAATTAAGGAATAGGGGGGTTTTAAGGGGAACCATTGGAGAAGAACCAATCCAATAGTACCCCCTAAATTATGGGACATCCAAGGAACCTTGGAGATGCTCTTATTCTCAACTCCCCTTTCCCTTCTTCCTCCTTTCTTCCCCCGTCCTACTCCCCAACCACAAACTTAATCACAGTCATGAAAGGCTCTCAACCACCAAGTCCTCCTAAAACCAAAGATCAAATTCTTGGTTACATATTCTCTCCTTTTCTTCCCTTTATTGCTTATTTTTTGATTCATGAGATTGGTCTTGATGGGATGAGAATGAGAGAGTTGATGATGAGAAATAGTGAAATTAGAGAGGATTTTAGAACAGATGGAATCGAAAGAGACTGGATGGTTGGTCGGGCGGTGGAATTTGAGAGGATTTTGAAGCACATTATTATATAAAATTTAAGAGAATTAATTAATTTTAGTTGATAGTGAGAAAGTTCTCTTAAATGTAGAGGAAAAAAGTGAGCGGATTCACCTTTGGAATTCCAAATAATTTCTTTGATTTAATTGAATTTAACTAAGAGAAAAAAAGGTGTGCTTTCTGTAGTAATTCATTACTTAAATAATAAATAACTTCGATTTCGTTTGAATGTCATGGTGTTTTCCTTGTTGTGTTTTTGTAAAAAAACATCATGGTATTGTGTTTTCTTCTTGAAGTGTTTCCAAAACTTCATATTGAGTGTTTTTGGTCAACACTAGTTTGACCGTTACAACATTAGTGTTAAACATATTATGAATATATTATATATTAATTATAATAAAATATATTATAAATAAAATGTTATAATATTTAGTTTATATTATTAGTATTGAATATTAAATGTAATACAATATAATATTGTATAATGTATTATAATATTATATTATACTTTAGTGTGTTATATTATGCTATAATTATAACATATTATTTTAAAATAATAATATATTTAATTATTTTGGTGTATCAATTTGTTATTGTTATATATTATATCATAATTTAAAATAACATTATTTCATTATTAATATAATATAATATTATTAATAATGTTAATATTATGTTATTACTAGTATATTATAAATATTTTAATATTATATAATATGTTAGAGTTTATTAATAATTATTATTAAATATGTTAGTATTATATAATTATTAATTATATTATATAATTACTAATTTATTACAATTTATTTATTAAAAAGTTAATAATATTATAGTGGTTATAATATTGTATAGTTTATTATTATATTATTATTTATTGCCAATAACTTTTTATTATTATTTATTAGATTATTCATATATTATTATTATATAATACATTAGCAACATATTAAATACTAGTATTTAATATGTTATTATATTATTATATAAGATATTTCATTGATTATATTTTTATATTATTTAATAAATATTACTAATATATTAGATTACCTATAATATAGTATAATATAATAAAATAAGCATGTTGATAATAACTATATAGTAATTATATTTAATATATTATGTTTGATATTATATTAATACCTCCTCAAACTCAAAACCAAAACATCAAAACATCAAATTTAAAACACCTAAAAGATATTTTGCAATAAGTATTATGTTTTTGGTTTGAGGATGATTTAGCTTAAAAAATATCATTGTTTCCAAACACATGGTGTTTTATTTTTGACAAAACACCATGGAAATAAGTAAAACATCATGGTATCCAAACAGAGCCTCATAAAACAATGAAGTTTAAATTGTATTTGAATGAGGAAGTAATAAATGGTCATGCTAAACTTAATTTATTTTTATTTTTAATATTGAAAGGTGAAAATAGAAAATTAGGAGTTTTGACAACCATATTCAATAGTATACATCATAACTCTTAAATTGCCTCTCAAATAGTATTATTGTCTCAAAATTTACCCCCATTTTCAACTGTGTTAAATTTTTAACAATTTTTAAGGTTAAATTACCTTTATACCTCTATTTTAATTTTTCCCCAAAAGCAGCAAAAATAAACCTAAATTTATTATAGTTTTAAAACTCGATCCATCATAATCTTTTAAACAGTTATCGAATTGCAGAAAACCCCCAATAAGTTCACATTTTGCAAATAACCCCCATAAATTAGAACAAAAAAACAACATAAAATGCATTTTGAAAGTTATTGGGGATTTATTACCATATGCTGAAAGTTTTTGATGTTTTAGTGTATTTACCCTTTTTTCAAACTTTGCACACTATTCAAGTCTTATTTCTATACACAAAAAGATTGACGGCTCATTAGGAAAGGCAGTATAAATCATGCAAAGGAGAAATCTTCAGCTTCGTTTCCAATAAAAGTGACGGTGGGCACACTGACCAGAGAGACGAAGAACATGTCAACGCCTTCGCAAGCAATATCAACCAAAACTCATTATGTGCAATATGACTGGTATAGTAACATGTTCTAGAATCGGCTAAATTACCAAATGAGCATTTTAAGTAGGACCCTTTTCACAATATAATATTCTTTTCTTTTTGACCAGCGAAATTATGGTACTGGTATCGAAATTAATATCAATCTAGCTATTTTTTCCTTTGTAAAATAATACAAAAGTGATGCCAAATGTCAATATGATATCACAATGTAGCCACTGAAAAGAAAAGAACATATCATATTGTAAACTTAATCCAAATAAAAATACCAACCTGATAATTAAGGCCTTTAGGATCGGATTGTGCAGAAAATGCCGCACGTCTCTAACGACATCTCAAAAATCAACATGTCACAGTACCATCTATACAGAGCTATCGAATTCGCAGTACTCAAAGATTCGTATCAAAAAACTAGGATAAAGCTATTTATTCCAGCACAACATGAATCATTTACCAGGTTCTGCTCATAAGTGAACGAACCTGGAAACTGTCTAACTCAGGCCGATCCGATAATATAGCTGTAAATGATGCATTCTACAATACACATCACATTAGAAACAAGTCCCAACTGCAGCTCATTTCCCACCTATCTCTTTCTCCTTTGCTCTGCATATATCCTCTGCAGATTTGACAAACTTTTTTGTCATCTCTTCAATCTGAAAAAGAAAAAGGGTAGGCTGAATCATAATGTCTCATAAATTTTATCAGAAATTTTCTGATCACTTTTCACTATGCGCTACCCACTTCTTTTTCCAGCCTCTTCACATCATCTTTAGGCATTGCTGATGCTGCTTTCTTTATGGAATCTAGCGCCTGCAAAGTCGACAATGAGATGAGCAAATAAATCAATTGGTGACTCAAATAGGTTAAGTAAATGAAGAAGCATAAGCTTTTTCAGCCCCAATGTTCATTTGCTAATTGCGCATTTGTCAGGCTCAGTTCAAGGAGAGTGACAGCAGAAACAATCTTCTGGGTGTTCTGAATAATTTCAAGAAGTTACATATGACAGCAGAGGAAATAACGGACTCATTATAAAAATTAATGATCATTAAGATCAATGAATGGAAAGAAACGTGAGGACTTCAACAGCGACAATCTTTTCTCCCCTTTCTGTATTCTAGTATCAAACAAGGGACCACCTTTAACCAACTTCCATTCCCATTACCACCGAAACTAGCAGCCTAGGACCTCAATCATCATCTTGATGACTGCACATTTATCCAGAAGTTTCATAAAACGCACTGCATTCTATTAGCCTAAATCATACAATAGAATAATAAAAGAAAGAAGCATATGTTACCCAGCTGAATGCAACAGCAAGATAAATTGAAAAGAAAGCACCTAAAAGGTAAAGGCTTTCAATTGATTTTCATCCTGAACTACTTCTAGGTTCATTTAATGATAATCACAAACTTGGTATAAATAATAAATACACTGGACAAATATGTAAGTTATGTATTTTGGACTCGTTGACAGATAGAAGATGGAGGGTGTAACTGCAAATATTTTCCCTAGCAAATATGCACTGCAACACAAGCCTGTGCCATCAATCAGGGCGGTATTGTTGGTGTGCTGTATCTTATAAATCGCGAGCCAATTTCTAACACAGGTAACTGTGCTAATGACAATAAGTTAATAGCAATACTAGCAGTTCTAAAATTTTAAAGTTCCCATACCTTTTGTCGTGCTCTTCTGATACTCTGCTTAACCTCCTCAGCAGATTTTGTTACCACCTTACAGAGCGCCTACGATGACAAAAAGAACAGGATTAAAACAAACCGATGCTAGCATGAAAATCAACTGACTGGTAATATGATAAGCTTACCTCTATGTTCTCCTTGGTCAGTCTGCAAGATTTTTGTGCCAGACCACACAGGTTAGCAATCAGTTAGAACCCCAATATCTCGAAAGTGAAGCAAAGGAGAAACCCGCTTCTAAGAGATTTTAAGCAAGGAACAAAATGGAAATAGATAAATCACAGCAGTCACAACAATAAACTGCTGTAAGTTCTATTTATTCAACCCAATACCCAGCAAATTATGATTTAAAAGTATAGAACTTACGGAGGGATAGCAGCAATTAGTCGTTCACCATCAGCTTTAGGATTTAGACCTAGTGGGGATGATATGATTGCACGTTCTATTGTCTTCAAAGCCTGTGGGCAGACATAAAACTAAGCTATTCACACCACATAATCATCAGATAAAATTTCAAACCATCATTAACAATAGAAATTCAAGGCAAATGAGATAATGAAAAATTGTGTTTTGATCAAAAAATATTGTTACCAAGGGAAACTCAGTACGAAGCTTTTAGTACTGAGCAATATGCCTGAGTTCATTAAAAGCATGTATCGTAGACGGATGTACCTTCCAACATTGACTAATATAGGATCTTTAAATGTTTGCCAAACAGCAGGAAGCTTTTCAGTGATAGCTTAGTGCAAATACTAAATGATATTCTTAGGTATATCTTAATGGCATGAAATCAGGAAGGAAGACACGCGCAATGCATCTCCATGAAGATAACAAAATGATAACATCCTCATAAAAGCAAGCAAATGAAGATGCTAAGTAGCTACTAATGAAGTAGATGAAGAGACCAATAACAAACGAAGTCAATACTGCTAAATCGAATTTAATTTTGACAGCAGAAAATAAAATTACGCCAAGATAATTATCCCACGTAGCATTGTGATATAAGTAGTTTGAAACAAAACGAATCACGTGATGTAAGTAGCTTGAAACATAATTAATAGGATCTCCGATGTAGGTTCGTTGAGTAGAACTAAAGAATAAAAATATTAAATGCGCGCGCGCACACACATGCATAATATATAGGGAAGAGTTCTGGGCAAGGATATGAAGAAATGGTGGAACAAAGAAATCAATTTACTTTGCTATAAAAATGATATTTTAGCCTTAAAAAGAAGGTAATATAACCGATTAAACTGATTCAAAACGCAAATTAGCACGGACAACGCAACGATGTATTCTCATATGCCTTTTTCTTCTTTTAATGTATTCTCATATGCCTGTTTGTGAAAAAGGTCATTGCTTCTTAAACGTTTCCTTGATTCACATTGGAGTAAATGTTATAGCATTTACATTTTGAACTTCCAGTTGTATTTTCTTTTGTGAAATTATTCCAGTTTTTGTTAGTTTCTGACCCTGAATAATCCAAATATCATCATCAACACAAGATGAGAAGGAGGAAGACAAGGTTATGTAGGTGCATGCATTGAGAACTGGAGAGGATAAGATTTCAAATAATATATAGCACTACCCAACTAAAAAAAAAGAAAAAGAAAAGAAGGGAAAAAAAAAAGAAAAAAAGGAAAAAAGAAGAAGAAGATAAAAGCTCATGCAAACAATATGCAATTGAAATTTAATGAGTTGTTTCTAAGGGCTGATATTCAGGGCTTAAAACATTAAAAGAAAAGAAAAAGAAATGGAAAAAGAAAAAAGCTCATGCAAACAATATGCAATTGAAATGTAATGAGTTGTTTGTAAGGGCTGATATGCAGGGCTTCAGTTAAAGAGTCAATAAAAAGAAAGAAGTCAAAGCATCAACCTAATTGTTAAAAAGGATTTGCAGAAACTTGTCGAGATGAAGAATAAAATAACAAAGTCGGCACAGACATTTGGATTAGATACAGTTCTAGTGCATGATTTCAGTAAGAAAAACGATTAAATGAGGATTAACATCAATAGCAATTAATGCAACAATCCGATAAGTCTCCTTCATATGCTCTTGTGACTCGTGCTCACATATTTATATACTCTGTGCTCCTTACTTCTGATTATTCCCATCCAAGAAAGCTTTACCTAGTTTGTAAATATGTCAACACAGTGGTGTACATACAGCAGTAGTAACACTATTACTAGAAGACAATTAAGCAAACAACTACAGAATTTTCAAAATCTCAAAATATACAAAAAAACCCAAACATGAGTAAAAAGGTTCACTTCAGGGTTGCAAGGATTACTTACATTTGGATCATAAGGCATCACCGAGAGAGTCTGAGCATCTAGGACTGAAACAACAGCGACATGATTAAGGGACAGCTTTCCACTATTTGTCTCTACAGTAACATGATCGAGCATCCCTGCAGAAGTTAAGTAGGTAATCCCTTGAATACTAGATCATACCCAACATTATGATATAGCAGTTGACAATATACCTGCAGATGCTCTGCCAGTTCTAAGTTTAGCTAATTCCCTTGATAAAGCAGTTATTGCATCCTCCATCTGTGAAAGAGCAGTTGACTTCACAGGTCCCATGTCTGGGACAGCTTGAATCGTATCTCCATCATCCTCCTTTTCTACAAAATTGCAGCTGGGAAAACATTAGAAAAATCACTTCACCAGAACAAACTAGAGTCTCATATCTCATAAGATAGTTCAGATACCTTCCCCCAAAAAAATAAAAAATAAAAAAATTCAATTTCTTTAATTCTTGGTATTTGGTGTTAAATGGTAGTGACACTGGATTTCGATCTTCACAGTTCACTATCTTCCGAGGACAGATTGATTAGCCAAGTGAAGTGGTCAATAATTTAAATATTTAATTAGGGATTCTTCCCAAAGGTGGAAATTTTTTTATTAATCAGTAGGTGCAGGAAACATTTGTAACAGTACAGATTACAATTCTAGTTATTTTAGCTAGAGTGTTCATTTGAGACAATTTACTTGCAACAAGACATTATTACTCATACTGTGTACGATAATTTCTAGATTGTGATTAATTGCATTAAAATTTGACAAAATATAAGAGTAAGGTCACTAACAGCACATCACCACTCTGAGCAATAGCAGGGTAAGGACATATTTAGTTGGGTTCCAAAGCATATTTTCTAGAAAGCTGATGATAACTACGTACACTAATACTATAAGGCATCAACAACAATTTGACCATAAAATACGCAGTAAAGCTTACAAATCATCATTTAAGTGTTTACTTAAGGAAGATGACTTGTCCATGGTGACATGATTTATTACCTCTAGTTACTTTATATGCATACTTCACACTAAAGAAAGGAGTCTTAAGTCCTGACCCTAAGGCACACACGTTCTACACCATTCTCTTCAATTCCATTCAGCTCTTTAATTCTCTTCTGCCAACCTTGGAGGGGGTTCGCAAGAATAGTGGCCCTGCTCAACCATTTTTCTAGGGGAAAAAATGCAAGCCTACCAAAGGTCTAAAAGTTTGATGAAGCAATGAATCACATATGTCAAAGTCAGGCTAACAACAAGCTGATTTTTCATAAGTGACAAGCCAATTAAAGCTCAAGGACACCAACATGGGCAGACAATGTGGAAAATATGTCAAGGTTTTAAATATCGGTTATCAGAGATTTATCGGACGGTCAAAATCCTTATCGGATAGAAGAAATCGGGGATATATCGGGGATAAATAGTATTTATCGGAGTGATATACTGGATGATGTATGTATATAATATAATAACCAAAAAATATAATCTAACCATGCTTAATGAAATATAAACATACCAAAATGTAAATAATCATGTTTAGAAGAAGCTCGAAGGTGAGCGGAGGTGAGCTTCGAGGTCGAGGAGGCGAGCGACGTCAACGCAGATGAGCTCCGAGGTCAGGGAGGCAATTGACGTCGGCAGAGTTGAGCTGCAAGGTCGGGGAGGCAATCGACGTCAGTGGAGTTGAGCTGCGAGGTCAGGGAGGCGAGCGATGTTAGTGGAGGTGAGATTCGAGATCGGGGAGGCGAGCGACATTGGCAGAGGTGAGCTTTGAGGTTAGGGAGGCGAGCGACGTCAGCGGACGTGAGCTTCGAGGTCGGGGAGGCGAGTAACGAGGTCAACGAAGTTAGAGGGGAACAGAGATCTTGAGCTCGATGGAGTTCGAAGAGGCTCGTAGGCTCGAAGAACAGTCACACAGAGAGGGAGAGAGATTCACGAAGGATTAGGGCTGAACTTGAAGTTAGAAACTTCATTTTATTGTCAAAAGTGGGTCGGGTCGGGTTTAAGAAGTAACAGCCCATTACCCAACAATTCAACTCAAAACTCACGTCGATAAAACCGATATTTTCAACCTCCCTTATCGGCTGATAAGTGCCTTTATCGTCGATAACTCGCCGATAAACCCATAAAAATGATAACCATTTAAAAATCCTACTTATCCTAGCGGAAAGCTCCTAAATCCGATAACTCGACGATAATATCGAATTTTTGGTCGATATTTAAAACCATGGATTCTATCTTAGTAAGCTGCCTGCCTAATCATATTTCAATGGCATTTTTTAATGTTTTTTCTAAACAAAGGGCACAACAAGGAATTGACACTACTACTTCCATATAGTGGCGGATCCAGAAAAGCTTTCTTAGGGGCGTGGACAACAAGTAACTATTTACCAAGAGAGAAAATATGATGGCTTAGTTGCACTTAAATACCCTATAGTTTCACCTAATTTTCACATATATACCGCCAGTTTATATTTGGTTGCACTTAAAACCCTAAAGTTTCCAAAAGTTACACTTTAATATCCATCCTCAGTTATACAAACGTGAGAATTTGCCCTCGAAAACTCTCACGAAGACACTCACATATGAATTTCAGAGCACTGTTAACTCCTAATATTTTTTAAATTTATTGTTAAATCTATCAAAATTCTAATTTAAAAATTAAAATACAACTAGGGTAAGATTAAAATAGGTTTTTGATAGATTAAACTATAGTTTAACAAAGAGTTGAAATATTATAAAATTAGCATGTGAGCGTCACATGAGAATTTCCAGTAAATTCTCAACCAAGGGTATTGAAGAGCAAAATTTAGAAATTCTAAAATAATTAAGTACAGTAAAATACAATTTAGGGTATGGTATTTAATTGAAATTAAGCCTAAATTCAAATGCGTACCTAATTATTAAGTGATTACAAACAATGGTTGGGGTGCAAATATTTCAAACCTTTTCTTCTTTTTTTTGGGAGAGGAGGAGGGGGGGGGCATTGGAATTATAATTTGAGAAGACTCAATAGTAAAGTGATTAGCGGTGCAACTGCACCCCTAAGCATCTACTTGCATCCACCCCGGCTTCCACTGATATTGATAGATTCAACCTGTTTTGGGAGAATATTTTGCTGAAAATGTTTTCTTCTATTCTAACCTTTGTGGATGGTTTCACTTGTTCACTACCGATTCTTTAGACTGGATGAGGTGCATCATCCTTCATAACACTTCATATAGAGTAGGACCTGCGAGAAGTCTTGAGAATTATGTTGCTAACTCTCAAGATATATTGCTACTTATTGTCTTCCTTTTTTTGAGTCGTATTAATTTTACCCTATTGCAGATGGTTTCATCTTATACATGCATGTTAAATTATGGAGATAGTTGAAGAGCAGGAGAGAACTGTATTTGCTTTGTGGATCAGTCACAGAAGCGGGTAGGAGATGAGGTGACGCGTTGATTCAGCATGATAAAAAAATCCAACATTGACTCGAATGACGGCTTTGAACTAAAGATCTTCCATCGAGTTGCTTTAAAACTGGGCTTTGCATCTTCAAGAGCAGTTCTAAATGAGAAATGAGCCCTCAAAAGATTGACTAAAGGAGCACGGATTGAGGAAGACATGCCGAAAGAAACTGTTGTGACAATTTTGCATCATCTAATGAGAAAATATTCTAAGCTTTTCAAGAAGTGATATAGCTGATGATACCGGTTCGCAGGGATCATGTCCATGCTCTCCCAGCCACTCTTACGAAACAAATTGCCTGGTCTTTCAGAAACAAATATCTTAACTAAGTTATTTTGGTTTTAAGCAAAATGTGATACTTGAGATTTTAGAAAACAGTGAACATGTCCGATTTTACTCTGTTTTCTCTATTTTGTCTGTCAAAAAGTTCCCATGAATATAATACTTGCACGACCAACAATTCTTTATGGATCATCATAGATTTATAATGTTGGGTAATTAAGAAATAACATGCACAAAAAATGATTATGGCCGAAATGACAATGTTATGGTGAACATGGAGATATACAGTACGGGATACTAATTAGATTGTTGAAAATCCATGGAGTTAAAGTGAGATCAAATCGTAACCAATCAGAATTGAACAGAATAAACACACATAAAGAACAAAGCCAAGAACTTTGCTTTACAGTTCAATTCAATTAAAATTCACATAAAGAGGAGAAAAGTGGTAAATTTCTTACTCGATTTCTTTCCTTTAGCAAAACCTCTTCGATTCACGAAGAAGAATGGATCACATCGAAGGCCATCAGAACCTCGTCGATATCCAAACAAAGGCGCTTCAGATGTCGATCGATCGGAGATGAGATAAGACAAGTGCGAGAGATTACTGAAATGGCGCGGGGATCGAAGGTAGAGAAGCATTCGAGAGGAGAGAGCACCGCGTCTGATGCAAATCGCCATTTTTCTAGGGTTTAGGGCTTATTAGGGTTTAGAGATGAAAGAAAATGGAGGTAATTTAAATCCCAGAGCAGGTAACGGTACGGGTTCGGGTCTGAGTAACTTTTGGACCCGCTATCGTACCGTTGAGGGTCCATTTTTAAGCGATAAGATTCGTTACCAAAATATAGAAAAACCCCTCCTCAAAATTTCATAGCAATGGCGTCTTGGGATGCGAGCTCGAGCGCCGTCATCTACCGTCCTTCGCTCCGTCGGCGGACTCCGACTCCGTTAGGGCGTTCCAAGCTACTGCTACTTGTTTCAAGGTCCTTCTCAGATTTTAGGTCAGTATATTATTATTATTGTTATTATGACTTCCATTCTAGGTCATTGGGGTCTAAAGTCGAGATTTTTTCAATGAATAACTGTAATTTTAAATAGATTTTGTTGCCACTGTGAATTTGTGTTTTCTGTAATTGTTGGGTTAAAGCAAATGGCTTTATGACCCAAAGTTTTACGGAAATGGACATTTGTAAGGTAGGCTTTTCGACCTATTAGAGCTCGTGAACATGTAAATCTAATCCTTATGAGAAAATGGGACGCTTTTGATACAAATTTCCCTAGCCAGAGAAAGAACTGAAAGTGCTCAAAACCATAAGCATCAAGCATTGTCCCAATGGACATATGTAAGTTATCCACCGATCTTTTATGATGAAAAGCATCCTTGATCAGAATCATCTTGCCGATGCGAGAAAATTGATGTTTTTTTTATTTCCATTTTTTTCTAAAGGCATGTTCGGTTGATAGGAAGTATCAGAAGTAAAAAGTAAATCAAATCTATTACTTCTAAAATTATGAAGTAGAAGTAGCGAAAGTACTATCTTTTTTGTTTGTTTCATAAAATTTTGGAAGCAGAGAAAGTAGCGTTTCTTCCACGTTAATAATTTTTTTTGTTTGGTAGCAATTATAAATATTGTTATTAAGGGAGAAAGAAGATCTATCAGGATTTTATTTAGAATAAGAGAATGTCTATGAGATAACAAAATTGATTTTATTCTTAAATTGACTCAATTTTAGCTGCTCCTAAGCTACTTCCAACCCATAATGGGAGGAAAATGATTCAAGAAGTAGAGATGACACGTAGGCGTCACGTCAGCTTTTAAGAAATTACCGACAGTAGCTTTTTCAGAGAAACAAACATAACTTTCTTCTCAAAAGTAGGAAAAATATTCCCTACCTATTTTATTTCAGCTACTTCATAGCTACTTCTGTACAAAAAACATGCCCTAAGTACGTCAAATCCTTGGAACATTAATTTCCTTTAAAGGGACTTTTGTTTTGACATTAGGAACTATTTTGCATGACTCGAATAGTATCATACTCTGTGGACAACGATAGGGAATTTAGTCCAGGCTTGTTCATTGGATTTCGATGTGTCATCTGTCCCCTTTCTTGAGAAATCTTACATTGGGTGGATTGTGGGTTGCTCTAACTTTCATAACTTTTTTAAGTTGTGTGATCAATAAGGTAGTTCATCGAAAGATAATGTTTGGCCTTCTAGGTTATAAAGAGTGCCTCCGCTCTTACTCATGGTTTAACTTTCTGTACCTTTGTAGGGGTTTGGAAAAATCAACATTGATCATAAATTTGGTCGAGCTCTTCGTGGATCCATATCAATTTTTGTGTCAGGGTTGAATCACCTTTAGCGGGAAAATGTATAAATTAGAAAACAAGAATATTGGTCTAATCCTCGACAAAAAATCCTTAACATGAATAGTATATTGTCAAGCAACATTCAAAGCTCTATCCATTATTTTAAATATCCCCGAATAGGCGATATATTGGCTAATCTATCCTTTTATAACGCTTGCCGCAAAAGGATATAGTCTAGACTCTCAATATCTTTTGCCATTTTTTGGTAATTCTTAGGCGATATATCCTCGACATTGTCGGTATATCAGCTGGTATATTGGCCAATATGCCCTTTTATATGGCTTGTTGCTAAACAATATAGTTTCGAAAATTTTCTTCAATGTTTTAAGCAAAAACCAGACCAATGAAGTCCTTTTAGCAAACTTTAGTAGAGTCTTTTCCCTAAGTAGGTTTCTACAATTGGCCGGTGATCCTAAACATATATTATTTATATTTTTATATGTTTAGATTTTATTATGTATGTTTATATTACAATTTAAGACATTAAATTATGTATATGCACACCATTTGATATGACATTCCGATATTTACTCATATCCTCGATATTTTCTCGGTATGTGCAATCCGATATGGATTTAGGTTGTTTGATATTTCCCCAAATTGATATATGAATTAGGGGTTTTTTCTAGAAACCACTTTCAATTTATACTTTAACCACCTTTAAAGTGGGGTTTTATTACCATCAACCACCTCCCAATCAAATTTTCCACCAAAAATCCAAACTTACACTTTAAAAACTCACATTCAAGGCACAATGAATCACTTGTTTAATGTTTAAATCTTGTTAGGATGCAGCTCACATACTTTGAACTTGAAATCTTTAAGCATATTTTTGGTTTTCTAGTGAAAATTTGACTGGGTGGTGGTTTATTGCAATGAAAATCATTTTTAAAGACGATTTATGTATAACTGAAATTGAAAGTGGTTTCCATATAATTACCCTGTTTCTAAGGTAGTTTCTAGGTGAAACCCTATAAATTAAAACATCGGCTCTATCAGTCTACTTTTTGATTTATGAATCAAACCGTATCTAGACAAGTTGCTTCTTCTTCTTCTTCTTCTTCTTCTTTGTAATAAGGAATACCTCAAGCAATTAACATATGCACTTTTTGCATTCTCCAACACGATACTACTATTATGTCTATGTTTTATATGTGAATGCTCTACTCTGAACATATGCTAGAAGTTGTTCTGGTTGATTGTATTCATTTTATTTGGGTGGTGTCAATCACGTGGTGCTATGTGGCCTGTTAGGATATACATCAACAAGAACGTCTCGAACGGAGACGCAATACACATAATAAAGGCACAAAATCAATCACAGTACTCACAGATATACGTGGTTCACTCATTCGGAGCTACTCCACGGTACAACGACGACGCCCAATTCTTTTATATCCTAAAAAAATTGATCAAAGAGAACATCCTCTCTTAATCAAGATACACTCCAAGAATTCTCACAAACTCTCTTTATGTTTTCTCTCTTACTCTTTTATAAGAGAAGTTGTTTTTGGGATGAGTTTTTCTTAAGAGTATAGGGTCTTATTTATAGTGTTTGGGAAAATACTACGCACTAATAAAATATATTAGTAGGACCCGTCACTAATAATATTTTATTGGTGGGACCCGCCACTATTTAAATTCCTCAACATTTATGGCTTATAATTTCCTCGTGGGGCCCGTCTTTTTGTTTTATCAGGCAAACTTTTGGTTTGCTTTATTAGGCTAGCAATTGGGGAGCGTTCCGAGAAGCCGTCTGATTCAAATAAGGTGTTTCTGATGGAGAACTTGATGGAGGTCTTGAAGGCGCTATATGAGAAGCCGTCTGCTTCAAATAAGGTGTTCTTGATGAAGAAGCTATTTAACTTAAAGATGCAGTAAGGAGCTCGTGTGACGGACTTCTTGAACGAATTTCAGGCTGTGGTGCTGCAGTAGATCTCAAGTTCGGCAATAAGATCAAAGCTCTTTTGTTACTTTCTTGTCTACCAGATTCATGGGAGAATATGGTGATGACGGTGAGCAATGCTAATGGCAATGACAAGATGAAGCTCGACACAGTGATTGGAGTAATTTTGGAGCTGAGGCCTCTAGCAGTGGGAGTGCTCTGCATGTCGAGGCACGCGAGCGTACGCAGAAGAAGGGTAGGGAACGACGAGACTAATCAAAATCAGAAGTGCTTCAGATACGGAAAGAATGGTCACTTTCTACGGGACTGCAGAGTTTCTGTTCCAGCATCAGTAGGGGATGATCGGGCTAACGGTGCAGCCAATCTCATGCACAAGACGAATTCAGATACACTTCTCCTATCCTAGTAGACAAAAGCAATGCATAGATCGTCGACTCTGACGTATCTTTCCATGCAACCTCACAACAAAAGCTGCTTTCATCGGGACATCGTATCTTGACGACGATTAATCTTGTAAGGTTTCCGAAAAGGAAAATTGTACCCTCAAGATGGAGGGCAGAACCACCTTGACGTTGAATGACGTTCAGCATGTACCGGATCTCAAACAAAATCTTATATCAGTCGGACAACTGACTGACTCCGGTTACAGAGTATCCTTCGAGCAGAGAAGCTGGAAGGTGTCCGAGGGTGCCCTGGTGGTGGCACACGACAAACGCGAGTGGTCTCTTTACATCTCTAACGAGAAGATCGATCACTTGCTTGCCGCAGGACAAGCATCACCATCATCATCCGTCGACTGCATGACTTGGCATCGACGACTTGGCCACATGAGCGAGAAGATACAGATTATGGCCGCCGGAGAGAGGCTTCCGGGTCTGAACAAGATCGATCTGACTTTCTGTAAGGACTGCATCTTAGGCAAACAAAAGAAGACGAGCTTCAATAAAACCGAACCGACTCCAAAACTACAGAAATTGGAATTGGTGCACACCGACGTGTGGGGACCTGCACAAATCCCATCTATTGAAAATTCTTTTTACTTTGTCACTTTTATTGATGATGCTACTAGAAAATTATGGGTGTTTTTCTTAAAGCATAAGTCAGATGTTTTCATCATCTTCAAGAAGTGGATTGCATGTGTGGAGAACGAAATAGGTAATAAGCTGAAGTGCCTAAAGTCTGATAATGAAGGCGAGTATTACAGTCAGGAGTTCGAGAACTTCTGCTCGTTTCATGGGATTAGGAGACTGAAGACCATCTCAGGCACACCTTAGCACAACGGAATGGCGAAGCACATGAATTGCACTATCTTAGAGCGCGTCAGAAGTATAAAGATTCACTCAGAATTGTCCAAGAGTTTTTGGGCCGAAGCTGTCAATACTGCTGCATATTTAATCAATCGCGGACCATCCGCAGCTCTTAATTATAGGATACCTGAGGAGGCTTGGACCAGAAAGAAGCTGAAGCTAAAGCACTTACGAGTATTTGGTTGTGACGCCTATGTTATGACCAATTCTGCAGACCGATCAAAGCTTAATCAAAAGTCAAAGAAGCTCTCTTTCATCGGGTATGGAGGAGATGAGTATGGGTATCGTTTTTGGGATCACGATGCGCGCAAGGTGGTAAGTAATCGTGACATCGTGTTTCATGAGAATGCGGTGTACAAGACCAAAGAGGTGAGTGGGAGTCAGCTATCTTCCCCTCTTTTCCCAGATATTGCTGACAGTGAGGACGACGATGAGATACCAATAAGCATAGAAGACGGAGACCAAGAGAACGTGCCGGATGCACAGCAGCAGGATTCAGCGGAGTTGCCAATCGCAATTCGCAAAGTTCCAAGAAATCTGAGGGTGCTAAAGAGGTACATTTTTACCATGAATTATCTTCTCCTAACTGGCAGTGGTGATTTAGAGAGTTATGAGGAGATACAGCCAGTGTTCTAAAAAACGGTCTGGGCGGTCGCCTAGGCGCCCGCCTAGGCGGAGGCGGTGCTCAGGGCGTGCAGAAATGCCCTGAGCGGCCACGTTTAGGCGCTGGAAGCGCCTAGGCGGCCGCCCAAGGCTAAACGGGCCGCTTAAGCGGCCCGCCTCACTATTTCAAAAAAAAAACGTCGGCTCTTCACCCGTAACCAAAACCCGTAACCCAAAACGCAAAAAAAAGAAGAAGAAAACTAACCCTAATATCACTCTCTCCACGCCGCCAGTCTTCAATCTCATCTTCAATCCCGTCGAGCTCGTCTTCAATCCCGTCGAGCTCGTCTTCAACCGGGATCTGGTCTTCGATCTCGTCGAGCTCGTCTTCGATCTTGCCTGGGAGCTCGTCTTCGAGTTCAAGCTCAACTTTCGAGCTCGTTTTCGAGTTCATCTTCGAGTTTGTCTTCAAGTTCGTCTTCGAATTGGTCTTCACTCTTCAAGTTCGTCTTCGAAACTGCCTGGGAGCTTCGTCTTCGACTGGGAGCTTCGTCTACGAGTTCGTCTTCAACTGGGAGCTTCTTATTCAAGTTCGTCTTCATCTCCTCTGTAAGTAAAAGACTAAAGACGCTTAGCACAGATAACTTTGGATATTTTGGATTTCCCCCTTTTTATTATTTGCACAGATAACTTTGGATTTGTATTACACAACTTCATGTTTAAACCTCGTAAACATGTACAGATTATGCAAGATTATGCAACATTAACGATGTTTTCACACATTAATCCACTTTTATTAAATGTTAACTTAATATATTTATATTATATTAAGTTTAATTGTTTAAGTTTAAACTGTAAATCTCAGAATTTTGAAAGAGAAAGTAAATATGTAATCATGGGGCTGTTTAATTGTTTAAGTTTAATTTTAAGTTCATTTTAAGTTTATAAGTAATTCTTGTTGTTCAAGGTTGTTCAAAGTTTAATTGTTCAAAGATTACATTTGTCCAAAGATTACAACTGCATTTGTTCAAAGATTACAACTGCATTTGTTCAAAGATTACAAGTTTACAACTGTACATGGATCACCGCATTCACCTTGTAGTGATAGTTGCAGCAATAACGAATGAAGTTGCTGTTTTTGACCTACAAAATAGAACAATAATAAGTTTGGATATCATATGTGTTGGTATTTTTGTATTTATACAATGTTGATTGAGTATATATATATATATATCTCTTCAAGTATCACAATTAAAAAAAGAAAAGAAAAAAACCGCCCAGAAACCGCTTAGGCGCCCGCCTAGGCGTCTAAGCGCTGGGCGCCAAGTCCGGCGCCTAGGAGCGCCTAGCGTTTAATGTAACATTGGATACAGCAGACCGACAAAGCTCGGGGCAAGTGGGAGTCTGTCATGGAGGAAAAAATAAAATCCTTAATGAAGAATGAGACTTGGGAGCTCGTAAAGCTTCCAAGAGGGTGAAAGACTCTTCACAATCGGTGGATTTATCGGGTCAAGGATGAAGCCGATGGACGGAGACGCTACAAGGCTAGGTTTGTAATGAAGGGCTATGAGCAGAAAGTAGGGATAGACTATTCTGACGTTTTCGCTCATGTCGTCAAGTTGACCATGATCCGGACTATGCTGAGCATTGTGGCAGTTCGAGATCTCCATCTAGAACAGGTGGATGTGAAGACGACATTCCTTCGTGGAGATTTGGAGGAAGAGATCTATATGCATCAACCAGTGGGTTTCGAGGAATGAGGCAGGGATGGCCTCGTGTGTCGCCTGCGCAAGAGCTTGTATGGCCTGAAGCAAGCTTTGCGACAGTGGTACATGAAGTTCGAGAACTTTATGGAGGAGAACGGTTTTCTCAAATGCGACATAGACCACTACTGCTTCATCAAGAGATATGGTGAATCCTATGTGATACTCTTGATTTATGTTGATGACATGCTGATTATCGGGCTCGACTTGGCCCGTATTGAAGAACTCAAGGGGCGTCTCTCCGAGTGCTTCGAGATGAAGGATCTGGGTCTAGCAAATCAGATTCTTGGCATAAGGATCATCAGAGACAGATCAACACGGAGACTGAGGTTATCTCAGAAGGCCTATATTGAGAAGATTCTTAAAAAGTTTGGCATGAAGTAAGTTAAACCAGTGAGCTTGCCGTTTGCAAGCCATTTCAAACTATCAAAGACCCAAGCACTAGAGACTACTGAAGAGCATGAGTTTATGGCCAACATATCATACGCATCTGTCGTTGAGAGTTTGATGTATGCGATGGTGTGCACGATGCCAGATATTACACAAGGAGTGGGAGTTGTAAGCCGTTTCATGAGCAATCTAGAGAAACAACACTAGAGTGTGGTCAAGTGGCTTCTACGCTACTTGAGAAGCTCGTCCGACCGTTGTCTTGAGTTCTTGAGTATGACGGGGCAGATTTGCAGCTAGAGGGCTTTTGTGATGCAGACCATGCCGGGGACATAGACTTGAGGAGGAGTACGAGCGGCTACATCTTCATCTTGGATGGTGGAGCGATAAGTTGGAAATCGAAGCTACAGGATACTGTGGCTTTGTCGACAACCGAAGCGGAGTACGTGTCTGCAGCAGAAGCAACAAAGGAGTTGCTATGGTTGAAAGCTTTTTTTCTCGAGCTTGGGTAAGCTTTAAGAAATATTTCATCCACTGCGACACTCAGAGTGTCATTTACTTGTCAGAGAACGACACATTCCATGCTCGGACCAAGCATGTTGACGTGAAGCACCATACCATATGGAGATGACAAAGCAGGAACGAGTTCAAGCTTGTGAAGATTGATACGAGATACAATCCAGTCGATATGCTGACCAAACCAGTTTCACTTGAGAAGGTGAGGCTGTGTGCAGCCTCATATGGCCTCCGTTGAGAATGTTGAAGGTCGTGCAAGACACCAAAGATACAAGATATTTGTATGATGCAACTAAGAATGATGTGAAGATATGATTGATACTCAATCAAATCTTTAAGTAGAAGATTGTTAGCTTAATAAAACAAACCAAAAGTTTGCCTAATAAAACAAAAAGGTAGGCCCCACGAGGAAATTATCAGCCGTAAACGTTGAGGATTTTAATTGGTGGCGGGTCCCACCAATAAAATATTATAAGTGGCGGGTCCTACTAATATATTTTATTAGTGTATAGTGTTTTCCCAAATACTATAAATAGGGTCCTAAAGTCTTAAGGAAAACTCATCCCGGAAACAACTCCTCTTGTAGAAGAGTAAGAGAGAAAACATAGAGAGAGTTTGTGAGAATTCTTGGACTGTATCTTGATCAAGAGAGGGTGTTCTCTTTGATCAATTCTTTTAGGATATAAAAGAATTGGGCGTCGTCGTTACACCGTGGAGTAGCTCCGAAGGAGTGAACCACGTATATTTGTGAGTACTGTGATTGATTTTGTGTCTTTATTCTGTATATTGCGTCTTCGCTCGAGGCGTTCTTGTTGGTGTATATCCTAACATGACCACTTTCTTCAGTCTTATCAGACTTCTTCAAACTCATTAGACTGATTTTAGTGCGTATACCCTTGTAGCTGTAAAATCGTTTAAGAAAAGAATAATAATACACATACTACACAACATTCAACTTCAACTGACTATGAGCATTGCTTTTGGTTACACAGGATTAAAGTTCCTCAGCAGTTTGTGATCTGCAGAGCAAAAGCTGTGAGTATGTTTCTCCTTTTCTTCCTATCAACATGACATATATCTCTCATCTTACGAGAAATCCTGTAATAAAAAGATTGTATTGATTTTCTCAAAATAGTGGTTTCATTATCTATATATGTGACATGCAAACAGATGACTTTGGAGCGACCGGAAGTCGCAACATCACTACGGTTCCCTCTAGCTTGTTGGTTGCAGAAAGGGAAGAGGCAAAAGCAGTACTATCATTGTTCCTAAGGAAGCAAGGATTTAGCTATGCCGTAGCAGCAAGGACGATCAACAAATCTGATGGCTTCATCGATCACCTCATATCGAAGCTCCACACCATCCATAAATCACGATATCTAGTAGGTTCGAATTCCAAATCACATAATTAACTTTGCTTAAATTTCACACAAAAACCCTTAGTTTTATGGGCTTTTGCAACCCCCCCCCCCCCCCCCCTCTCAACCCAATATATAAAAAAGAAATCACAGAATCCCACTGAACTGGTCTCAACCTAAGTGACAACAGTTACTGTAATTCGCTATGTACTCCGCATGTGACAACTGCTGGACAATTTTGCCCTGTCTACTAAATAAAAATTGGTGTACCCTTTTTGGGTAGCCAAAAGTAAAAAAAGTAAAATTAAAAAAAAAATTAGTTTAGACTTTTTACTCTACCCGCTGTTGCCGAATGCCATTTATGAGAATTTCAAATAGTTCAGGGGTGGTTAGTATGATTTGGAAAGGAGATCTTCTATGATTTACACAGTTTAGCGGATGTTGTGCAAAAACCCCTCAACATCAGAAGTTTGTGAAATTTACCCAATAACATTTCCCTATTCAAACTATCCAGTTCAAATACTAACCTCGTCATGCTATTTCCATCACACAGGAAGAGAGCTTACCACCCTTGAAATCAGAAATGCTCTTGTTCCCTATCTTGAATCCCTCCTTGAGGAACACGGAGATATTTTCATAGACATTGTGGAAAATTTCCCAAATCCCCCGGGAACGATCGAAAGACCCCCTCCAACACTGCCAACAGCAAGCAATAATGTAACCTCCAAGAAAGAAAGAGCTCTTGCTCGGGTAATTCAGCAAAGCCCTGAGGGCCTCTTTCAACCCTCAGTTCTTTATCTCATGGACCTTGGTTTAGACCTTGATCGGATCAAAGGTATTGTCCGAAGGTTCCCAGCTTTCGCTTACTACAATCTTGATAAAAAAATTAAGCCTGTAGTTGAATTTCTCCTTGAACTTGGTGTGCCCCGTTCTGATATATCAACCATCCTGCATAAAAGGCCTCAGCTTTGTGGTATCAGCCTCTCGGAGAACCTGAAGCCCACAATGACTTACTTGGAGAACTTCGGAGTTGATAAAAGCCAGTGGGCTAAGGTGATATACCGATTTCCTGCACTCGTAACTTATAGCAGACAGAAATTGAAGGCATCAGTGGATTATCTTACTGAACTTGGCATTTCAAAGGAGAACATTGGAAAGATCTTGACTCGGTGCCCGCACATTATAAGCTATAGTGTAGATGTTAAGCTGAGACCAACTGTTGAATACTTTGAATCGATCGGTATTGATGCTTCTTCATTAATGCATCGGTGCCCACAAACATTTGGTTTGAGCATCGAGGCGAATTTGAAACCCGTCACAGAGTTTTTCTTGGAGAGGGGATACAGTATTGATGAGATTGGAACCATGGTTTCAAGGTATGGAGCTCTTTATACTTTTAGTTTGAAGGATAATTTGATACCAAAATGGGATTATTTCTTGACCATGGTATATCCACGATCTGAGCTTGTTAAGTTTCCTCAGTACTTTGGTTATAGTTTAGAGAAGAGGATCAAGTATCGGTGGTCTCGAGTTAGGGAAACTGGGGTCAGTTTGGTTTTAAACCAGGTGTTATCAACTTCAGAAAAGGAGTTTGAAAAGGTGTTGGAGAGGAAACTGGGGAATATGTTGGATGTTCCAGTTGCAGAAGGGAAGGAAACTGTTGCAGATCTTGAAAAATCCGAGCAATAGTTAATGTCTTGTAAATTATGCTCCTGTTGCGTACAAAAAATTGTACTGTATTAATATTTGAGGTTCATTCTCCCTCAATATGCAGTTGTTTGCAGCATTTTGTAGAGTAATACAAGGCCATATGTGAGTACTGAGAATCAATGTTGCAAAAGCTGTGCTACATAACTCGAAAATTTGAGTTACTTATGTTAAGCAACTGATATGTGCCCCTTGAAATGATTGTGATACTTCATAGTAGCATGTGCCACGATACACATTGGAGACTTGTATAGCAACATGTGTTTCTAGCATTTTGGTTTTGGTTTATGAACCTGTCGGTCACTGTGACATCCTACTCCCTAATTCCTCTCCGTCGATAAGGACTCCCCTTTCAGTTCTCCGATATAAACACCGTTCTCTTCTTCCCCACCGTCGAGCTCCTCTTCCTCTACTGACACCCTTTTTTCTTCCTCGTCATTGATGGCATTGTCACCCGATGCCACAAGGATGCGACTTACCTTCTGTATCTCCTTTATTGAGCTTCCCTTCCTCATTGAATTCCCTTTTGTCCTCTCCCTCAACAATGACATTGTCACCGATGTTGCGAGAATGCTGACTCTTCTTTCTCTTCTCTCCCTCTGTCGAGCTCGTTTTCCATCACTAAGTCCCTTACTCCTCTAGACGCTGATATGTTGTAATGGTTTTTCAGACTATGTTTTGCTGAAAATTTTAGATCTTTTACTTTCTGAAACAATGTTCATATTTTTTAGATTTTTTGTGAATATTTTTCTAGTTAGCAAAAAAAAAATGTAACTTACATTATGTTTTATACTATATACGCTTTAACCGAACGAAAGGCCGAGCACTACATTATAATGGTATCGTTTTTTTTTTTGACAGTGCTGGCAATTATGTGTTGCCTCTAAGTACGATCTTGTGCTGCTGAAATTATTTCTGCATTGCCCGAATTATTACTCTCTAGTTTTACTTTTCAATATTAACACGTAACTGGATTTTTTTCTAAAACTCTTTTGCCTTAGAGGTTCATTCGTATGACAAAATCTCAATTTCTATGAGGTTAGAAAGATTAAAAAAAAAAGTTCACTTAGAGGGTTCATGAGCAAAAATAAAACTAAAGGCGTAGTGAGTTCAAAACAATACTAAAGCAGTCTATCAGCAATCGATTTCATTTTAAACAAAGTTTGATAAATCAAACTAATGGATATACATCTTGTTAAATTCATATTTTTTTAACCAAAAGAGTAAAGTTATCATTTATATCTATTATCTATTGCCAGTTGATAATCATATTTTATTACAATTTTATACCCTCATTATCTATTTTATATGATTAAATATGCCACTAATAATTATTTTTATCTTTTAATTGCAGGTTAATGAAGAATAAATCTCAAACTCTCATCTCTCAACAAAAACCCATTGATTAAATGAAGAAATAAAGCAAAGAAGCACATTGGAAAATCAATTTCCAAATTATCCAAAAGCCCAGAATGAAGTCGTGTAGCCTGTAGAAGCCGGAGAAAATCAAAAATCCAATATGAAAAGAAACCATATTCAAAATGGTTGGCCATAAAGAAACGACGATATCTCCTAATCCGGAAGGCGGAATTTAACATATAATATATGAAAATCGCCTATCTCGACGAGACGAAGCTATCCGTGAAATTAGAATTTGGAAATAATGGATGGCATCGATACCTGTATCGATGTTTGCATCGATACCAGATTACTGTAGCGCACGTTAATGGCTGATTTTGCTTATCTTGGGGCTCAAGTTTGATCCAATGGCTCTCATTCACTGATGTTTACTATAAATAGGGGTAGAGAGTGAGGGGTTAGAGGTGTGAAAATTTTTGTAACTCCTTTTGGAGAGGAGGGCTACTCTTAATTGAGAAGGCCTTCCAAAATTGTAACTTTTTGTTGCAATTAATAATAATAATTTTTTCACCACTTTAAATTTTTCTCTTCTTCTCTTTGTTGGATGATGAAGATGAAGATGAAGATGGAGAATTATTTTGAAGGTTTGCATTTCTTTCTTTTTCTTTTTTATTGCTTATTAGTTTAGATTTATTTCTATGCATGTAGTTAGATTTTATTTTCTTGTTAAATAGCCAAGAGGCTAGAACCCTCTTGCCTTAGATTTATTTCATGCTTATAGAGTAGATTTATTTTCTTGCATTTAATTCTTGTAATTTTATTTTGTAGTTTAGATTTTGCAATTTATTTTGTAGTTAGATTTTAATTTCTTATACTATTCACCTTGAGGCTAGAACCCTCTTGGGTTTAGTTTTTCTTTTTTATTTATTTTTATTTTGTTTGATTCGCCTTTAGGCTAGAACCCTCTAGGGAATCACCCTTTTCTAAGAAGTGGGTTCAATTTTAGATTATCCATATCTATAATTGAATCCACCATCTTTAACTTCTTGCATTTTCTTTTATTTTTGAATTTTGTTCTTCATTCTTGATTTTTTATTTGTTTCTTGATTTTATTCATTTTTTCCTTCTCACCTTATTGATCATACTCATTCTTTTTCAAATCCACTCTCACTTACACTTTGCATCTATTTACACACCATTTTCACTCTCTCAATCTCTTCACAATCACATTCACTTTTCACTCCTATTTGTCACGCACACGAAATAAGAACCAATTTTATATTTTCTCCTACAAAACACCTTCCTCGTGGGATCGATATCTTAAATACTATAACTTGACACGGTTGTGCACTTGCAACCTTTTTGGTACATGTTTATACCGCACCACCGGTATTTTAAAAAACCCCACATTTTTGTTTCTACTCCTATGTGAGTCAAGACTTCAAAAAAATTAACATGCCATCAACAATTTATTGTATATCAAAACTAGTTAGAAGGATGAAATTGAAAATATCTAAAAACATCCTAACTAGCATCTACTACTTGATAACTCCCCCCACTCTCCATATTTTCTAAAAGTAATTGTTATGGTATTCTCACTCGCCAAAATACAATCATTGGCAAATGAACAGACCGATGTACTTCCTCAATCAACGCCCCAATCAAATTGGTGGCCCAAGCCCATCAGAGAGTCCGACTTAGCCGGCTAGACGAGTCGATATTCCTTCATATCGACTCGAAAAGCGGTACTAGTCGACCCTCTTGTCGAAGACGTCACCAAGAGTCCACTCGGCCATTCAATTAACGCCTCACGAGGATGACTTGAAAAGCGTTACTTTTCGGTGAAGCTAAATGATAACTTCTGCTTCGAGCTTATCCTCGCTGACAACGTGTCTACGTCGCATTTAATGCTTAACAGACATCATCATGCCTCTAACCCCAACGGTCTTTATGACTCATCGGACCACGTGGGCCACCGCCATACTCCCTCTCACTTCTCATTTAATACTGAGAAGATCCTCCCTCCAGTCGCCAGCCGACACCTGTAAAACAGAGGCTGACTTAGTTGCTAGCCCACACTTCAACATCGTCCTTTTATGCTCGGCCGAAGTGACTAATCTACCCCTTATGCGCTGAGTATAAATACATGTACTATTTTAACGTTAGAGAGGTTCACAAATCTGATCCTCTAACGCATACACAATTACAAGAACACAGTTCTTTCTTGACCTCATTCAAGTTCATCAACTAACTTGATCATTAGATGCACTACGGGGGAACCAATCCCCGTCCTCTTATGAATTTCTATTGGTACAGATTCCTCAGATGCCTAACTCAAGAAACGGATATAAAGTTAGAGAAGAAAGCGGCCCCTCTTCAACATTGAACAAACTAATCCTATCCTGGATCTGACTGTGTGATCATATAACCATCAACAGTTTGGTGCCCACCGTGGGGCCTTCTTTCTTTTTTGAGAAAACATGTCAGGTTTTGAGCAAGGGTTTGATCAATCCAACCCTGAAAACAATATCAGAGCTACGTTACCCAAGCCCAGCTCGAGGAAACTGCTCACAAGTTTTCTCAATCTATCTAAGAGCAGTTCGCCATTTTTACTCGTGAACTCCTTGGTCGGCTCCCGCAGCCACAACAAGCCACTTCATTCCCTCCCCCTTCAGAAGACCAACGGTCGGAGGCTTACCCTTCTGGATCACAACAGGCGTTCCCTCTCCAGACTCCTCATGCTGCTAAGCAGCTGGGGAATCGCGTCGAACACGCATCCATGCCGCCTCGTCGGACGACTCGCGCTGACGAGCTGAGAATTTTGCTAAAAGAGAAAGTTTCTTTGGGGGGGACCCTAGAGAGCTTCTTGAAACCACTAGCGAGTGAGCAGCTTCTTGAAACCGTAGCGAGCAGGCGGTGCTTAGAACTGATCTTTGCAGATCTTAGGAGTTTCCATCTCTCTTCAATCAAAATGGGATAGATGATCCTTACAAAACACTGACGATAAAAGTTACAATCTGACGACTTTCACTATAACTGACGAGAGTTATAATTTGATGACTCTCACATCTTTAGAATCTAGAGTACAAGGGTTACAAGATGATGACATTTATATTCTAAGAAGACTTAATGCAGAGGTGACACAGAAATTACAAATTAACGATCTTTATGTCTCCGAAGCCAAACACGATCCTCGCGTTTTAACAGTTAAACGCGGGGATCACCCTCGCATTTCAACATCTAAACACGGAGGTTGACCCTCGCGTTTCAACAGCTAAACGTGGAGGTCACCCCCGTATTTCAAAAGCCAAACGCGAGGGTCCACCCTCGCGTATTGAAGCTAGAACGCGGACGTCGCGTTTGACCATTTCAAATTACTTGAACGGTTACCCACTTAATGGGGCAATTAAGCCCCCATTATGGAGTGAATTAAGGGATCAGTTACACCCCTTAAACCCTATAAATAGCTGGTTTTATAGCTAAAAAAAGGTCAGATCTTTTGCGTTGGAGCTTTTAGATCATTTAGCTTGGCTTTTTGAACTATCTTTGGTTGAAGATCTTTGAGATCGGCAATTGCCTTAGAGAGGAAAGCCATTGGCTTATTTTGGATAAAAGGACTGAAATTACTTTCTGAAATTAACTCTTTCGCAGAGTTCTTAAACTCACTTAGAGTTCTAAACTTGCCTGGCAAATTCTTCTCGACGTTAAGTCAAGAAGAGT